AGATATCTAAGAAAAGGGAATAACGTTCCACATTAAAAAAAACAAGTTTAACTTGGCTATTTGAACCGGAGAGATTTGAATTTTAGGAATAATGACACAAGTAAATTTTTAAAAATCAAAAATTAAATAAATCTAATTTTCAAAACGCAACAAATAGATGGTGGCAGCGGTGGGATTTTTCCCTTGCTTTTCGCCTCATTACTTTTGCACCCTGTTTATTTTTTTGTGTTTTGTTGAAAATTTTCTCAGGAATTATTGAAATGAAAGTTTTATAAAAAAAAATTACAAGCATAAGTCTTCTTTAGGTACGTTGAACGGCCACTCAAATTATTTGAGGTGAAGCAAAGTTTAATTTATTTATAAAACGTGAAAGTCATAAATTCCTGTGAATCTAATCAACTTTATAAATTCACGTAACAGTAAGACATTATACTACAGGCGGCCTGTAATATAATACCATATCAAGTGACAGCTCAAGTAATACTTTTGCATTCAGAAATAAAGCTATTCTAAATTATCACTATATTTAGTTGTAAAATTATACTATTTGGTTTTATAATTAATTATAAGCATAAGTCTTCTTCAGGTACGTTGAACGGCCACTCAATTTAAACATTGAGGTGAAGCAAAATTTAATTAATTGTGGAATCAAGGTTCAATTTAACAACAAACAATGATTTCTTCTGCAAGTGAAAATTAAAACTGTAGAAACGACTATTTACGCCGCTCGTGCGAAATTGTTGTTTAAATGACATCTTACGCCGCTCGTGCGAATTTGTCAGTACGATTCAATTTTCAACCTAAGAAATTGGAGAATCAAATGTTTGATTAAATATGGTTGATTATTTGGAATTTTATAATTAATAAATAACTTGAAATATTTTAGTGAAATCATTAATTAATTTTATTAAATCTAAACTATTTTGCTTTTATAATTAATTATAAGTATAAGTCTTCTTTAGGTACGTTGAACGGACACTCAATTTAAATATTGAGGTCAAGCAAAGGTTAATTAATTTGAAAGCGAAGGTTTAATTTAATAATAAATAATGATATCCTTCCAATTTTAAAAAATTGAAATTTATAAGAACAACATCTTACGCCGCTCGTGCGAATTTGTTGTATTAATAAAACAATTTACGCCGTTCGTGCGAAATTGTTTAATTAATTTTAATTTTTCTAATTCGAAGTAGTTGTATGGTTTTTTTTTTAAATAAAATAACGCATTCCTAATTCTAAACTGAAATTAATACAGACAACATCTTACGCCGCTCGTGCGAATTTGTTGTATTAATAAAACAATTTACGCCGCTCGTGCGAAATTGTTAAATTGATTCCAGTTTTTAATTTGGAGGGTGTTTCAAATTTATTTTTATTCACCTCTGGATAAATGCCTAAATCAAAGAAACCAAGAAATCGCGGAGGCAAAAATGCTCAAAGACGTTACGAAACTGCAGTCGTAACATCTTCCAGTACTAGTTCCAATTCGTGTTCGAGTAAAATTGTTGACTCACAATTGAACTCATTTAACCCCGTGATCAAAAAAATTGAAAGTTTGTATTGTGAAAAAGAAAATTCGTGTATTTACAAGGTAGAATACGTGACTACTTCCAGCCATCCCAGTTTTTCTGAAAAAAAGAATTCAGAAGAACTTAAAGCTGTCCAGATAAACTTCATAAAAAGGGCCGAAATCCTTTCAGGAACCAAATCAGGAAAACCCCTCATTCGCAGTATAGAGACAACAGATAATTTTATTACAATAAAAATCTAGGTCATTACATCTGTTTTCTGTACACAACAAACGTCTCACTTATTAAAATAAAGTAGGTCACCAAACATATAATGAAACAGTAATCGAGTCGTAACCTGAGACCGTGTTAGATTACAATACATTATATAATTCTCGTTGCTCTTTTTGGAGAATTGAAGGCGTAATGTGTGAATAATAAAAAAAAAAAAGATTTATATATAAATTTTGTTTTATATATATATGTGTATAATAATAATAATAATAATTGAGATTAAGGAAATTTCTTTGTTGTCAATTCTAACAATATATATATATATATGTATATGTGTATATATGTATATATACACATGTGTATATACGTATATTAATGTTACCTCGACTACAAGTGACTGTCCCAAGTTTTTCTGCGGACGAGTGGAAAGAATTAGACGAGAGAATTCAAGCATTGGAGAATTTTAGTGAAAAATTAACAATAAATTGTATATTGTTGCAACTTAACACTGAGCGTAATGATAAAAAAATTAAATTTCTGTCTCAATGGTTGTGCTCTCTCTCTGATTCTAATTGTAAACTTAAACAACTAATTGACGAGACTAAAGTTCTTGCAAGATCTTACCAATAGTATGGTTTTCATGACACCCGCCACCGAGGCAGGTTTCGTGAAAGTCGTACTAAGTAAATTAAAAGGGCCTGCCAGGGAAAGCGTTAGAGACAAACAATTTCCAACATTAAACGATTTAGTCAGTCATTTAAAGAAACGTTTTTCAACGCCAAAAACTTATCAATGGTACATTGATGCCATCGCGGGCTTAAGAATGAAACAAACCGAAACCGTTAGCGATTATAATGACCGGTTACAAAGTTTCATTAGCGGGGCTAAGCATGCCCTTGAAGAGAAATATCCGGGAAATGTGGAAGGTTCCAACATTCCACAAAGTCGCGTGATGATGATCCCGATTAGAGATTTCGCGTTAGATTCATTTATACGTGGATTGCCAACCGACATATCAACACACGTGGATACGCGTTGCCCTCGCGATATGAGCGAAGCGCTTGAGTTCGCCCTTCATGCTGAAGAAAGAGATTTTTATACCGATCGTACTAGATCAACGTATCGAATATTAAAAAATCCCGAGCATCAGGAGCAACAACAACCTACTCGAATAACCGCCATTCTAAAAAATCCAGAACATCAAGAAAAAAATAGATCTTCAGACGGACCCTCATCAAGTAGGTTTAACAACACTTCTAACCCAAGTTTGCCCCCCTATGCAATGCCCTATCCACAAATGTATTATCCTTTTCCACCTTATCAAGGATACCCTCCATATCCTCCATACATGCCATACGCTTTCCCTCCTAAGGAAACCCCCAAACAAGAAAATGCGACACCACCGAGGGCTCCATCACCTGCTCATCCCAAACATTTAAACTATCAATCGATTCATCCCATGGACGCATCGGTGAATCAAGTCAATCGCGAGCGTCCAAAGACAGTGCAATTCCAAACGTCGGTCGAATCCTTAGGGCAGGAACAAAGACAAAGGATTCCCCCGTCGTCGAATTAACATCAAATGAACTCGTCAATAATAAGGCCTCGTTTCTAGTTGACCCCGGGTCAGATTCAAACTTAATCAAGCTAGAAGCTTTGCCCCCCCCAGATGATGGTGACAACAACAACAAAAATTCTAATTTCCGGTATAACCAGACATGTTATTGAAACCTTGGGTACAATCGAGCTTAATATTTTTGGTCGCAATGTCGAATTCCACGTTGTTAGAAATTCCTTCCCGATTTCGGTTCAAGGAATTCTCGGAAGACCATACCTTAGACAGGAGCAAGCTCAGTTGTCCTTTAGACATAACACTTTGGTTACTGTATCTGAACCCGCGAGGCCATTGCCATTTATTGATGAAGAATCCCAATTAGCAAAAAAAGGTTTAAGACCTGAAGTAAAGCCGTTTAAAAGAATATTAACTATTAAGGCTAGGATGCGACAAGCCGTCGCTATCAATACTCCTTCCGAGCTCAAAGAAGGTTATCTACCGAAGGTCGAAACCCCAGACGGTATATACTTGGGGGAGGCATTAGTAAGCAATCATAATGGCACTTGCTACGCAATTGCCGTCAACACAAGCGTCGAAGACATTCAATTCAAGCTAGGGCCTCAGGAGCTTATTCCTTTCGAACATTGCCGATTTCCCGGAGAAGAAACTTCTGAATCCGATACGGAAGACCTTGTAGAAAATTCTTCCAACACGTATGAAGAAAGAATAGGGAAGGTTAAGGACGCTCTTCACACTTCACACTTATCCAACGAGGAGAAAATCTATGTAATGAAATGGATCGAAGACTATGCAGATATCTTTCACCTAAACGGAGAAAAATTAACGTGTACTCATTTAACTCAACACCGAATTCCTACCATTCACGATAAGGTGATCCACAGAAAACAGTACCGAAGAGCACACGAGGCTTCCGAACAGGTGGATACTCAGATTAATAAGCAGTTCAACGCCGGTCTCCTTAATAAATCAACATCACCGTATAACTCGCCTCTTCTAATTGTGCCTAAGAAAATGGACAATTCTGGGGAGAGAAAATGGAGGGTAGTGATCGACTATCGCGCCCTCAACGACAGGATGATAGGAGACGCTTTTCCCCTACCTACTATCTCGGAAATCTTTGACCGCTTGGGCAGTGCTCGATATTTCACAGTGTTCGACCTCGCTAGTGGATTCCATCAAATCAAAACCCACCCTGACGATCGCCATAAGACAGCTTTTTCAACCGGTCGCGATCACTACCACTATAACCGGATGCCTATGGGAATCAAAAATGCTCCCGCAACCTTCCAACGCCTTTTAAATGAAGTGCTCAAAGGAATGTTGGACGAGGAAGCATTCGTATATCTTGACGACATAATCATCTTTTCGGACACGTTAGAGGAACATGACCGAAGAGCCCGAAGATTATTCAACAGGCTACGAGCAGCCAACCTCAAGCTTCAGCCAGACAAGTGTGATTTTCTAAAAAAGGAAACCGCTTATCTAGGTCACATCATTAGTCAAGAAGGAGTAAAGCCAAATCCAACAAAAATCGAAGCGATCAAGAACTTCCCAAGGCCCGACAACCCAAAGAATATTAGACAATTTTTAGGACTTACAGGTTACTAACGTAAGTTTATTAAAAACTATGCAAAAAAATCGAAACCATTAGTCGACCTGTTGAGAAAAGAGAGTAAATGGGAATGGGGACTCCCACAAAAACAAAGTTTCTAAAAACTTCGATCCTACTTGTGTCGGGAGCCGATCCTCCAATTCCCCGATTTTTTTTTATTCACATAGATGGAGCATGCAAGGACAACGGAAACGCTGGGTCCACTGCTGGGGTCGGAGTTTGGTTTGGTAAAAATAATCCCTTAAATGTGTCACAGCTTGCAACAGGAAGGCAAACTAATAATTCTGCGGAAATTGAAGCAGCCACAATTGCAGCCACCAAAGCTAATGAAGCTGGACACAAATATTTGAAGATATTCACTGATTCACAATTCTTGATCGACAGTATGACCAAGTGGTTACCACGGTGGAAGGAAAACGACAGGAGAACATCAGCTAACAAACCAGTACTAAATCGAGTCGAATTCGAAAAATTGGAAGAAGCATTGTCACCTCCCGATGTTGTTTTTGAACATGTCCCTAGTCATCAAGGGATCGAAGGGAATGAAGAGGCAGACAAATTAGCTGTACAAGCAATCGAAAATCAACAAAGAATACCTCCGGACACAGAAACCCAGAATTATGACCAAAATATTTCTTTTGAGGTTATAGAAATCCCTCGTAATATAACTTCAAGCGAAGAAAGTACTCATGAAAGTGATATAACGGAAAATGAAGACGAGATCATGCGAAGGGAAGTTGAACAATTGGTAAAAAAATTCAATGAATCAATGGCAGAAAAAGAGTCTACTAATCAGAATATCACCAACCGAACCTTAGCATGGGATCACGAATGAATGGACGAAGAATCGCTCCCTGAGAGGAATTGCCTTTCTGAAACGGAAGCCACGGAGGAACTACTCGAAAAACTTCAATCACGTGACCTTTGTGGAGAATACGATGATAACTTGTTTTTATCGCGCGTACAAAATTTCCTAACGGAATTTGACAAGCGAAAATCAGCTGGTACATCCAAGGATGCTGAAAAGGCAACTGAAGAACAAGGTAGTTGTCCACCCATTGAATCAGAAGAATCAGGATTAGATGAGGTTCCTGAACTACGATGCTTTCACAAACGAAATGAATCGCCCCAGACGAGAAAACATATTTCCTTTCAGACACCAACTACAATTCCACAACCCTATGCACAGTCAACCCCGTACGTACAACCTGTTAATTTTAGTAGGGCCAATGAAGATCCAACAACCCCATTGACCACAAATAAATTAGATAATCCAACAAGCAATCGAAAAACAGAAATTAAGCCCCGTAGACTGATCACTACCGTTACATCTAATGGCGAACAGCCTACTTTAGCTTCTAGCGTGCTTTTGGACCATGCACTGCATGCATCAGATGAACCACGTAACGGACCGACAGAAGAAAAACCTCAGGAAGCATCAGTTGTACGACATGAATGGTCTGAACCTCTAACTTTCCGTCGAGATAATTATGCGCATTTTATCTCAGAAGACTGTGAACCAGACGACCCTATCAGCAAGCTTCTGAATGCAACAGAATATATTGACCTTAAGGACCTCAAGGAGCAATGCCCTCGAATTGGACAAATCCTTGTTACCCCTAACGGACGATATAAAACATATTCCATAGTTGTTAAAAAGAGACACTTCAATCCTGTTAACTGGAACTATGTGACATCTGGTCTGAAAAGTCTTGAAGCAACCCTCAAGCAAAATAAACAGCATAGCTGTAGGATGGCGAACTCCGTAGACTTGTTAGGCTCGTTACCTCAAGACTACTTGAAGAAACTCGTTACAAGTATGTTCCGTGGTGGCGATGTTACCATCACATTATGCCACGGAAAGATAGAAGTTCCCTCCGCAACTCACAGATCAGAAATTATAAAAGAGTTCCATAAAAGTTTAATTGGAGGTCATAAGGGAATTAACAAAACTTACAGACGTATCAGGGAAAGATACCCGTGGCCTGGTCTACGTAACGACGTCACCGAATATATCAGGCAATCCAGGACATGTAAAGAAAATAAACTAGTTAGGGCTAAAACTCGCGAGCCTATGATCATCACGGATACCCCCGCAGAACCTTTCGACAAGGTGTCCCTGGATATAGTAGGAAAATTAAGAACAACCCCTAACGGAAACCGGTTTATTTTAACAATACAAGACAATTTTAGTAAGTACTGTATCGCCGTACCAATTCCGGATACGAAAAGTACAACAATTGCACATGCGGTAGTTACAGACTTAATAACGAAATTCGGCGCACCAAGATGCATCCTCACCGACAGAGGTGCAAATTTTATTAGTACTCTTATGCGAAAATTAGAAAAACTATTCCAAATTAAGCAAATAACCACAAGTGGCTATCGACCTCAGACTAACGGATCTCTAGAAAGGAGTCATATAGTCCTTGCGGATTACATCAAATGCTACGCTAAAGATTTTGACGATTGGGATCGACTACTTCTCTTTTGCATGCTCGCGTATAACACTTCGGTTCACGAGGCAACTAACTTTACGCCTCACGAACTAGTCTTTGGAAAATTAGCCAGGATTCGTAGCGCTTTCCCTCAAGGTCCCGAATTAGAAACATACGGTTCCTATCTTCGTGACCTAATTACCAGACTTAACGACACTCAAGACATCGCGTCTAAAAATATTATCACTTCAAAGATCAAGTCTAAAGAAAACTATGATTCGAAATCAAGACCATTAAAAGCCCAAAAGGGAGATATAGTGTACACACAAAAAGCAGTGCGGTTGAATAAATTCGATAAGAGAGCCGATGGCCCGTACATCATTATCGGGTTTACACAAAACAACAACGTGGTATTAGAAGATGAATCTGGTAATAGGGTTACGAAACATAGGGACAAGATCTTACCAACTTATTGTTAAAAAAAATAAATAAATAATAATAAATAAATAAATAAATTTTTTTAAAGCTTCTATAATTTCAGGTTGACTACCACAAGATGACAAACTTTACACTAGTATCTTCTGTGCTACTAATTGCTCTTACCTTAGCAAAAGCATTAAATTATGAGGACCACAGTAGTTACCACATTACGGCGTTCAACAAGAGTAGTGGAATATACTACGAGTTCAAGGATAATCTGAGGATCTCAACATCTGTCTGGAGAGTGGCTGTTTTCCTGGACATAAGCAAGCAAACACAATGGCTCAAAACCTTGGACGAAAGATTAAAACAACTCCTGAATTCTTGCCCTGAGAGATTTCCGAGTTGCCTCTCTCATATAAAGAAATACGATTGGGAAGATACCTGGGAAACTGCTGACGACTTAACATCAGAAATTACAACAGAAATGGCTGATCTAAGAAAAATACGAAATATAGAACCAGTCAAACCTCCAAGGACTTTCAGAACTAGAAGAAGTGCACCCCTAATAGGATTCATCGGACGAATTGCCGGACCAATAATTGGAGTTTTATCATATGAAGACGGTGAACATATCGAAAACGAAATACAAGATTTGAACTTAGCTCAATCAAATCTATCCCACCTAGTCGGAAAACAAACCCACGTGGTACGAGCCCAAATGGATGCCCTATACAGGAGAGCTAAAGCAGACGAAAAAGAATTACGAAGAGTCCACGATCAACTAGAAAATCTGACCAACTATTTAAACATGAATCTACAAGGAACAGCTGAAAAAAAATACCAAGATGACCTAATGGATGTCCTCTACAAAATGATGCTCAACCTATTACTTTTCAGTAAAACTGGAGCAAGACTCCTCGATGTAATCAGATCTTCGAAGAAGAGACAACTCCATCCGAATCTTCTCACGATGAGCCAGCTGATGCCAATCCTGAGAGACATCCAAGATCACCTCTCATCTGTAAGGCTGCCAGTTCAAGGCCCCGATTATAATTTGGAAGAAATAATACAAATTTCACAAACTACGATTTTAATAAACGGCGATAACTTAAAAATTCTAGTTGACATACCCTTACTAGAAAAAACTGAATATTCAGTCTATAAATTACATGCCCTCCCCGTTTTCCACACTATCTTCGAAGGCCACGTAGGAAGGGCCTCTATCAGATCAGCTTATACTCACATAGCGATCGATGAAGCACAACGAACCTATATAATGATAGAAGGAAACGAATTGGATACTTGTCAATAAGCTCCGGGTTACCTACTTTGTCGTGAAGGACTTACCATTCACGAAGTGTGGAAGAATCCTCCTTGCGAAATAAAAATACTGCTTAATTCTACGGAAGACGTCCTGAAGTCATGCAGCATAGGTTTAGAACATCACGATCAAGATTACTGGACAAGACTTGATTCATTGGGTGGTTGGCTCTACTCAGTGAAGGCTGAAACTACGTTGAATATATTTTGCCCATCTTCTCAAGGCATCAAAATCAAACTCTTTGGTACTGGTGTAATACAATTAGCAGCAGGATGTCAGGCAAGAACGGCTGATGTCACCCTGCCAGCACTGAGAAAAATACAAGGAACCACGGAAATAATTTACGAGTCCGAGATTTCCCTCAATATAACTGCTATATCCTCCATTTTGGCCAGCTGGATCGACTCCTCCAATCCCGAAACAACGGACAAAATGCACCTCAAAGTACCCGAAATGAAAGAATTTTATAAAAATTTGAAAACCCTTGACGAACTGGAACAACAATTAAACGAATTTTCACTTCAACGAAAAGAAAAACGCAACCAACTATTTTGGATACGTGGAACTTACTTAGGTATTGCAACCACAGCCTTTTTCGCGATCACCATTTGTTTCATCTTGAAGAGATGTGTGAGCAATGGAGTCAGGAACATCGAAGGTCAAGATACGAGAACAACGTCAAGATTCTACTTACCCAGCATATTCAAGAATCGGCGATCGCCGGTCCCAGTCATCAAAACAAAGTCACATTTAAGAGAGGACGGAAGCTCCATAACTACAGAAGAAACGAAAGACATACGTTTAACAGCATTAAAAACCGCTACTGCACCTTGTGCTAAACCAAGAATCCATTCTTCAGTTGAAGGAGGCGAGGAACAAGGATCAAGCTTATCATCACACACTGAAGATCAACATGAATTGTCCGAAAATAAGGAGATAACAACCACACAACAGTATGGAAGATATCCTACGTTGTCATCGCAACAACTCCAACCCATTTAAATAAAAAGTCTCAAAACAAAGTTATATTTAAATAAGACAAAATATATATATATAAGCTAAAACATTCATATATAATGCATATACTTAATAAGCAATTCATTTCAAACTATTTTCAATATTAACAACGTTTTTAAATTGATTTTTTATAGTAAACTATAACATATTTTATTAAACATTAAAATTAAAAATTATTATTTTATAATGGTGTAATGCCTGCATGATGCGGTATAATATCCCATTATACCAAATAATAATCCACTATAATGCTTAATAAAGTATTATGTTTATGTCATTATTTATGATGGTGTAACTGCACAAGATCGGCATAATACACTATCATACCGAATGATAGTAAACTATAATATATTTTATTAAACATCAAAAATTTCAAATTATTATTTTGTAATTGTATAAACATAAGGTTAATAAATTTTTATCAATTAACAGACAATAATGTAAACTAGTATTCGCATTCCATGACATAACGATTTATTATGTGAAAATATCAAAAGATATAATATAACTAATTTAAACAATGAACTAACAACATTATTGTTATAATAACGCGATATGCACATAATGTAGCATAAAATACTTATGTATAAAAAAAACAAAAAAAACAAAAAAAAAATTTTATTATAATAACTAATA